ATATTTGTTTTTAAAAAAAGTTCTAAAATCTACCGAAAAGCGAGTTTTACGAAAACTTCCGTTTCAGGTTGTATTCATCTAATATTAAAAAATTCACTAATTACTTAATAAACATCAGAACAAGTTCAAAATTTCAAGATATGGTTAATTTCCTCCACTAAACGTGATTATATGATCGAAAAATCGGAAAAAGCATATTTTTGTTATTGGGCTTTCCAGAAACCCTTCTGGAAAACCTTAGAGTTTTGTAACGTTTCTTTTGAGATATCCTATAAATAGTATATAGAATAGCTTAAATACTCAACCTTCTGAAATTCCGAACTCGTTTTGTTGTTTATTGAATGATTGGTGAATTTTTTAATATCAGGTAAAAACAGCCTGAAAACTCTAATTTTCGTAAAACTCGTTTTTTGGTAGCACTTTAAATTTTTTCTAGAAACAAATATTGCACCGAGGCTCAACCTAGTCGACTGCGCATAGTTCATCCGTCTTGAAGGCTACCGATTATCACGGGGTATCAGTCCTGGGATTTGTAGGAAATCCGACACAACGCCCGAACCGCGGAAAATCAAGGGCTCGCTTGACTCTCAATTTAAAGAGAACACCCCGGGCTATCAGCTCGTGAAAAAAATCAATACAACTCTATTGGAAAATTTTTACACACGGGCTAGTTTTACAAAGATCCCTAGAAAACCTGTTTCAGAAAGCTCTTCTGGGAAAAATTTTGGTTATGGAAACATGTCCCCAAGTCTCCTCTTTCGAGTGGTGTAAATTGGAGCTCTTTAGCTTTTTCCTATCAGAAGCTATTCAAAAAACACTCATATACCATTCTTCTTTTTGGATGGACAATAGTTCAACAACTTGCTTATGATGCAAAGTTGCCATGGTACACCGCAAAATAAATTTTGTAAACATTCTCATTGTGACACTAGAAATCAGCGCTATCGATCACAGATAATACTTGTTTTTCTAGAAAATCGCGAAAACCTTAATGAAAACCCCGGTTCTAGAGAACCGAGTCCAAGCGAAAACCTTTCGAGCAATTCTGACTCCGCCATTACATAGAGCATAGCCTAAAACCTATAAAAAACTATTTCTGGATGCTATGTAGACATTATTATTGAATTATAGCACATATCCGCCCACTCTGGTCAAAATTGCCCATTGTGCGTTTGTTTGAACGTTTTTAATATGGACACCATCATTTGAAAGAAACAGTTGATCATTTTAACAATATGAACGATGAACTAGATAATGATAGAGCTTATTTTTATGATTTACCATTTTTCACAGCAAATTACTGGCATTTTTTTTAATTTTCATCATTGGAAGCTAAGGGTTTAAGGGTTGCACTAAAATCGAGAAATTCTAGTCGTCAAGCAATGCTCACTAGCCTACATGTTATAGTTAATAATGGTTGTAGAATAGAAAAATGTTCCATGGGATGCTTTGTTAGAGAAATATCAACGACAATTAAATTAGTTATATTCGCAAATTTATTAATGATTTTGTATGGAATGTCCGTTTTTGATCCGTAAACAATGTAATTCGACCTAAGCTGATACGCGAACTGATAGTTCGTGTTGTTATTACTGTGTTCACGGCTCAGTGGGTAACTTCAGCACAGCAGGCGAACAGAGTATGCAATGTATTCGCCAACCTCAACAATGAGCTTTTTCTATGTTTTCAAACACGCTCTATCGAATGGCTGACTAAGAATTTTTTTGGGCAAAAAGTGTTTTTTTTTTTCAGTTTAAGCTTCAGGCGAAATTTTTTCCATACCAGCTTTTCGTTTAGAAATACGTTGTCTGATACATAGTTCGATGTAGTTTTTTGCGCTGATCCCAAATATCACCTTGGTTTTGAGTTAAAGTACTTTCAAAATGAGAAAATTTGATTTTACGTGAAAAACTAGCGACTTTTTGAGAAACCCACTTTATACATGTAGACATTGTATGGCCGAATGCCTGGCATTTATAGCAGCGTTGGAGATGAATTGGTGCTTTATATGCTGTTGCTGTACATCCTATAGCTCCAAAATAGATTTTGCCAATCTGAAGAACTTTTTCGACATCATCATTTTGCTGAAAGTCTACTCTGATTCTTTGGGTTGGGATACGTGTTGATTAGGCATGCACCGGTCTCGGTTTTTAACCGATTAACCGAAGCCGATCATAACCGAAAATGTTGCACAAGTTCTTGAAAATACGTTTGACACAATATAAAGGAAGCATCTGCTGATCAATCAGCAACTGTTCATTCCGGAAGGAAGATGCACGGTGTACAAAATCCCAAGTAGGCCAAATTAGCGGTATTTCTGACTTTTCACCATGAAGGAAGAGTTTCTCGAAATTGAGTTTAGCAACAAAGGTATGGCCAATTGATGACCGGTTACAGTTAACTGTAACCGGTGCATGCCTAGTGTTGATGTAAAAACTCCTGTCACTTACAGCGCTGAAGCAATTTAATCCTGAAGTAATTTAATATCTGGTGCATCCCAGTCAACGGGTACTTCATGAGCAAGAATAGAGTAAGGTGCTCGTTTCGGGGGTTCAACTTTGAAATTAAATCCATTAAGTTGGTGCGGCCATGTTTCTGGTTCACATAAAGAATCAAAAATAAAAGCATCAGTAGCGAAAACTAAGAGCTCATTAGAATGTTGTGGTGATTTTAAACAACGGGCATAAGAACTGAACCTTGGATTAATTTGAGCTATAGAGTTTGATAGCTTTTGATTATTTTCAAATATGAGTATAATTGAAATGAATAACGTTTGTTGTTGGGTTTCGTTCGGATTTGTGGCTGTGGATAGTCATTGTTAAAACGTTTCTGCATTGACTGATTTCCATTGTAACGAATTAGATTTTGCGTATATGCCGAATTAAAGAAGAGTCGTGAAGTGGCTTTAGGTTTTATTACATTGTCATTTGAGTTAAAATAAGAATGAACATAACTAAGTGTGCCATTAGGTTTGGCCTGTGGTGCTGTAGTTGCCGTAGGAGATGCTATCTTATTTTCATTAGATATTTTCCTTTTGGCTCGTTTTCGTCGTCCATTATACATCTCAAACGGATCTTTGTCACTACCTACAAGCGCCTGTGGTCTGACTAACTCGTTATTCTCATTGTCGTCGGTATTCATACCGTGGAACCGATACTTTACATTAACAGAGCGTTTCTCAGTAGCATTAATAATAGTGCATTCTGAATGGTCTGTTTCAGATTTTTGAACCGGAATTTCCGTTGTCAGATCTTCTTTCTCAATTGTAACTACTACTGTACTAGAGTGAGCATCACACATGCGGAAATCAGGTGTAAAATGTATAAACTTGTAATAATTTCTAAATTATTGCTAATAATTTTATAAAATCGTCCCTTCTTCAGCGCGAAAACTAACGACAGTGCGTGTGTCAAGTTTTGAATATTTTGAGTAAATGTAACACACATGAAACAACACATGTATTAGAATCCTAAGTTGGGATAACTCATCGATTTACTGAACTGTCTCACTTGCGGTTTGCCAAGCACTGCTGATTTGAACTTGTGGTTAGACTTTGAGTTTATGGAGTATTTGAGAGAGAACGATGTACCCTGGTCAATGATTCCTGAAAAACCTTACTGGAGGGTCCGACCAGATCCGACGTCGGAACATGCGGGAATTCGACAAAATCCGACCGAAACTATGCCGGGTTATGTCGAAACTCTGACACTCGGAATCCATGTCGGAGGATATCGGGAAAGATCCAATCGATCCTTCGAGTTGATCATTGATTCAGCTGTTGTTGACCTCATCATCATCACATGACCATTGATGCGACGACAGTGAAATGTCATCTAGTGCAACGGAACATTTACGAGATGAATGAATAGTCAGTTGATGGGCATTCTTCATTCGCTGCATAATCATTGATTCAGTTGTTGTTGACCTCATCATCGTCATATGACCGTTGATGTGTGTGCGTCTGTCATCATTTTACCATTTATTCAAACTATGCCTATAGGCATGGTCTGATTGTATACAGTTCCTCATTAATTACATTCTACTATAGTAAATATGGTATGTACGATAAGTTGAATAGTTGGATATTGAGCATAGCATGATATTTTCAAGTCTAATCCTTCGGTTTGGTATGTAATTGCTTTATGTCATGCCCATGAAATTAATTTGTTTCACCATATCACATATCTCTAAACAGCAAAGTATTTATAATTATGTCTACCATTTAGCTTTGTCCAATTATTCTATTTTACATGTGAAAAAAATGTTACTAAATGTCTCGTTAGCCATAACGTAAACTTTTATCGCTATGTCTGTATTGATAAGCATTCCCTAGACAACATCGTACGTACTACCTATCTATTTCCTACTAGGATCCTATCATGACCCATTTAAGATCATCATAGCTTTTTAATAATCGCATTTTCTTGTTAGAGGAATCGTAGTAGTTAAAAGATCATGAAAAAATTGAAAGGAAAATCGAAGAGATTGTTCAACTACTCCCTCAGCACGTGTCGTTTTACCACAAGCAATAGTTTCTCTCATTCTAGAAATAATAGCGTTGGTTTATATACCTGTTCCATCAGTCAGTCATTCTCGTCGCCAAAAAACATGCTAGTCGGAAAATGGCAGTTCTCACTGACGTAGCCATAGCGCAACACGAATGAACTGAATACCAAAACTAACGTATGTATCATTTCAAGTGAGATTATTAAGCAGAATCCTCACATTTTTTCTTGAAATAGTTTAGGTAGAATGGTTTTACCTTGATAAAACTAAACATTTTGTGAAATCTTAATATGACTTACTTAATCAACATCTGATTTCAGACTATTGCTTCATCTGCAAATGTTTTAGTTCACAATCGTATTTTTATGAAAAAAAATGATGAAATTTACATTGTAAAAAAATATTAAAGTGCATTTAAAAAAAATGAATTTAATAAAAATGTATCACAACTTTGTAACTCAAAGAGCAACACCGGTGATAATATAAAAGAGAATTTATCGAATCAATTTTGACTTCGATTGTTTGATTAGTCCATGTTTTCTTACTAACTGAATGATATCTGTCAATTCCACACACGTTCTATAATCGTTTAGAGCTTTTTCACGTTGTCCTTGAGCAGCGTAGGCATCAGCTCTCAATTTATAGACAAGCGGATCACAAGATCGAATGTTTAATGCTTCTGTAAAATGTTTTTCGGCTAATTCATTTTCATTCATTGTCAACAATAACATTCCGAAATCAATGTGAATATGTGCACTTGTTGAACTTAAATTAAGGGCTCGTTCAAAATCTTGTCGGGCACTTTGATACTCTTTCAAAATTGCTTTTGTTATTCCACGATTTGTTAGTGCTGCTTCATCATATGGATTTAATTCAATAACAGTATCATAATATTTTAAAGCTTCTTGAAATTGTCCATGAAAAAATAGAATATTAGCAGCATTATAATACGCTAAGGCATATTTTGGATCACATAACATGGATGACTTATAATCGATCATGGCACTGACATTATCACCAAGATATTGTTGTATGACACCTCTGTTTGTGTATGATTGTGCTGATGTTTGAATATTTAATGCACGATTTAAATCATATAATGCTTCAGATGGATGTGACATTTGTAAACATACCAATGATCGTCCTTCGAGTGCTTTCACATTCTTCATGTTCATTTGTAATATTGTTGTAAATTGTGTCCACGCACGTTGATATTTACCACTTAATTGTAAACAATAGGCTAAATTTAAACGTGCCAATTCATGTAGAGGATTTTCATAGAGAACCTGTTCATATATTTGTTTTGCAGTCAATTGTTGTCCCATATCCATATACACATTTCCTTTTGCAATTAATGTGTCATGATGATGAATATTTTGTGATAATATTTCATTAAAATATTGAATTGATTCATTAAATTCTCCAAGTTTATGATGACATAATGCAACTGTATATCGAATTGCATCATTGGACGTTATGGTAAGAGCTAAATGAAAATCTTGAAGCGCATTCAAATAATCACGTTGTTCATAATGTAATAGACCACGATTAACATATGTTTCGAATTCCAATTGTTGAGTATGAGAATACTTTTGTTTTCGTTCTTTTAACGTATCATCATTAGTATTACTCGTTTTTTCTACCAAACATAAAACAATGGCAAAATCTTTGAATGCTTGCAAGTATTGTCGCTTTTTAATGTGACATAGAGCACGATTATAGTATGCATGAGAACAAGATGGATCGAGTTTTGTTGCTTGTGTTAGATCGGAAATAGCATGATCATATAGACGTAATTCATATTTCAAACAACCACGATATAAATAGGCACGTACTAAATTTGGACTAATAAGTATGGCTTCATTACAATTCAAGACCGCTTTTGAATATCGTTGACAACGGGCATACCTAAAGTTGTGAAAATGAAAAACAAATGATAATTAGATATATTCTCCTTTTATATTACATACCAGGCTGCTCTTGCTAAATATGCTTCAAAATTATTCGGTTCTAATACTAGAGCTCTGTTAATATCTAATAATCCACGCTTTGATGATGGTATATTTGCTAACTCGTTTGGCTTCATTTTTGTACATAAACGCATTTTAGCAATTCCTAAAAAAAAAAAAAAGCTTAACCATTTTCATCGAGAGTACAGTTATAAAATATTACCTCGTTGAAGATAAGCAATGGCATTATCTGGTTTTAATTTAATTAATTGTGTTAAATTTTCAATAGCATCTTGATACTGTTTTAATTGCATTTGACATCGACTTAATTCAATATAGGCTTGATATAAGTCACTTGTTAGTGATGTGTCATTTATACATATTTGTATCGTTTTTTCATAGGCTTGTTTGGCATGTTCAAATTTTTTTGCTTTGATGTATAACGATCCGATTAAATTATAATTTGCTGATGTTGGATGAATGAGACATTCACGTTCCATTAACTTTAGAGCATAATCATATTCTTCTAAAAATGTCTGTACAATAGCTTGCTGTTGAGCATTTGTTGCATTCATATTCATTGATGCACGATTATTCGATTTTTCATAATCGGCATTTTCATTTGCATTTGACTGTAATTTAGCGGCAACTTCAACACAAAACGAGGCTAATTCTAATTCGCCCATATCAATAAGAATTTTTCCTCTAAGCACAATGGATGCATTTTGATCCGGATACATGTGGTAGATTTTTGTATAATCATAATAGGCATTTTTTAAATCATTCAACAGATAATAAACATTAGCACGACAAAAATACGCCCGTATATAAGTTGGATCATAGATAATGGCTTTTGTAAATAGTTTAATGGCTTTTTGATAATAAAGATTATTTGCTTTGTTATTCATTTTCATATAAATTATACCTAAATTACAATAAGCTGGTGCATATTCTCGGTCCAATTGTACGATAGACTCATAGTCGTTTACTGCTTCGTTAAACTGAGATTTTTCATAATAGATTAATGCACGATGTAAATAAGCATTCAAATTATCATATTCATCATTCAGCAATAATGAAATACTCAAATCTTTGAGTGCTTGATCTGGTTTACACAGACGCAATAGAGCACCACGATAATAAAACGCTTGCCAATTATTTGGATCATAATGAATTGTTGATGAAAAATCATTGAGAGCTTGTTGATAATATTCCTTATTCAAATAAGATAAACCACGATATAAGCGAGCGTCAACATGTTCTTTGTTACGTTTAAGAAGTTCATTAAAATCTGTGATCGCATACTCGTAATCTCCAGTACGATAATAATGCATTGCATGTTTGTACCTGAATATTCAAAGAGGAGTCAGCATGAGACATGCAATCGATCCAACACATTCTAGTATCCTCAATCAAAAATTTACTACTATTAGTATGCTCCTCTATCCAAAGTTCATCGCAACTATCATCTTAGATAATGTCGCCTCTTTTCAGCGCTGCTGACTACATATATCGAAGAAATTACCTCGAAACAAAATCTGTGTATCACATTATCACTATAATCATGATATAACCCTTTCTCTCCAACTACATCTGGTCAATACCGATGAATAGTCCTTCATTTACTGCACAACATATCTCGAAGGGACTTATGTGATGAGTTTTGATTTCAAGTTTTTTGCACAATCCGAGTGGTGTCAAAATATGGATGCTGAATGTATCCACTTTTGGTTCATCTGAAAAAGTTTTAACTAGTTTTGAAGCAAACTACTGCGTATTTTGATGGTCGATCATTGTAGCTGTCGACCGCTTGTTTCTCAAATACAAGTGAATTGTAAGCAAGACTAACCTACTGCTAACTAACACGGTAACGTGTCTCAAGTCGAAATAAATACAAAATTCGTTTTCGGCTACTAGAGGCTTCGACAAACTGTTCGACTAATCGATTAAGTCATCTGACAAACCACATAATGAAATGTAGAAAAATCAGTAAATGAAGGACTATTCGTCGGTATTGGCCAGATGTAGTTGGAGAGAAAGGGTTATATCATGATTATAGTGATAATGTGATACATAGATTTTGTTTCGAGGTAATTTCTTCGATGTATGTAGTCAGCAGCGCTGAAAAGAGGCGACATTATCTAAGATGATAGTTGCGATGAACTTTGGATAGATGAGCATACTAGAATGTGTTGGATCGATTTCATGTCTCATGCGAACTCAGTTTTAGAATATCAGAAGAGATAGTGACTATAAGACAATGGACTAGTACTGACCATGCTTCAATATTATCTGGATTTAATCTGGTTACTTGTACATAATCATCCATTGCCAGTAGTAAATCATTTCGTCTCTCGTATGTTTGTGCACGCTGATAAAATGATTCATGATCATTCGGATTATATTTGATTGCTTGAGAATAGTTCGCTATGGCTAGTGACAGATCATTTTTAATTAAGTAAATATCACCTCTCAATTTGTATGCACCACTATGCGTTTTATTTAACTTAATAACATGATTTAGACAATCCAAAGCATCATCATAATGTTTAAATATCATTAAAATTAAACTTTTTTGCCAATAAGCATCCATAAATAATGGTTCAATGTACAATGCTAGATTGAGATCGTTTAACGCGTCTTTAAATAAGCCTAATTTACGATAGAGAGCACCACGTCTCGTTAAACTATAGACATCTCTTAAATTTTGCTCAATTAGTATATTTAAACGTTTTAGTTCATTTTCAATTATGACTTTTTCCTGTTCACTATCCTCGTCATCAATCGAAATTGTTATGTTGACAATCGGTTCTGAAATGACCTGTAAACGTTTTTTTTTTGTTTCTGTTTCATCATCATCGTCATCATTAACATCATACTGATATACTGGTTCACTATCAGTAATAATTTGTTCATCTTCTTTTACTTGTCTGTCTTGTTCACGTTTGTCCAATTCGGCAATATACTCATCTAACCACTGATACCAAATATCACGAGTCCATTGGAATTCTGTTAGTTGTCTTTTACCGCCGGATTTAATTCGAGTCGTCTCATAATTATATGTACGTTTAATTTGATCGAATTGTTGTTTCTGACGATCTAAACTTGATTGTCGTTTTTTATGTTTACGTACAATTGTTCGTGTTTCATTAATTGAATAACGTCGTTCAGGTATTTTACCAGAATCTGTAGCCAATTTAACAATATCATCAATTCTTTTCCAATATTTGACTTCTTTTTTCTTTTGACGTTGTGAACGAAGTTTAGCCGATGTAATGTAAGGTCGACCTGCTGCAATCGCTTGTTCGTAGAGAAATGAACGTTGATTTTTTCGGAAATATTTAAATTCTTGATTATTATTTTTAACTTCTTTTGATGTTTCATCAACTGGAGACGATGAAGTATCGATCTGAGACGATGATGATATACCAGGTACACTAAAGTCAACAAAGGATGAATGTGTAATTGGTTCATCAATCTGATCCGACATCATTGCTGCTTGGGTAGGCGTACCAATAGGTTTTACTATTGGTGCTGTTGCTTTAGCGAGTGATTCAGCCATATTGATCATTTGATGTTTTGTTTCAGCTAGCGTAAACAAATAATCCGTTTCAAATTTAATCGTCTCTGTATGTAATACTGATATATCTGGACAAGAACGAGAACGTGACAAATGAACATGATCAACTATTTGATTAAGTGGTTCATTCAAATTGTTCATAAGCGAAGTGATTTGTGATGGTAATATTTCTAATGATTTATATTTTCGGCTTAATAGTCTTTCATTTCGCATCACCAATTCATCAACATCATCTTTTTCACTCCAATTTGTGTCAATGGTTTCATCTAATTCATCATCGTGTTTTGCATCATCATCATTGGCGATTTTCATTATAGATATCGATGTTTTATACTTAGGAAATAATTTTTGTTTAACTTTACTTGGATGAAAATACATCTTGGGTGGAGCAGGTGTCCACAAACGAGCATTTTCTCCTAATTGGACAACAGATGTTCCTTCAATTTCAGGAACTTTGAAGAGAATATCTGCTCGTTTTTGCCAGGTATCCAACTCGTTTTCTTCGGATGTAGTGGGAAGAGAATTGTATGGAATAGACGGTATTGATCTTTGTGTTGTATGAGAAATAGCACTATGACGAGGAGCATCATGTTCTTGTTCGAATTGATCACTAAGTAGATAAAAAGAACTATCACAATTAATCATTTTACGGTTTCTCAACGGCTTACTCTGTTTTCGAATCATTTGTTAGAGAATATTTCGGTAAATTTCCATGTTTATAATAAATATTCGATTTAGGTAAATGGTGACGAAATCGAGCACGTTTATGATATAATTGTGTTATTGTTTGTAGAGAAAATGGTAGAGAAGAATCCATCATTTGGATACAAAAATGATGTATACCACGTTCACTTGTCGATGTTTTTAATGTCGTTTCACGTGGTGATTTAGTTTCTTTCATAAACTCCTGTTTAACTAAGAACGGTATTTTATTTCCGCGGATATGCAATAATTCTTCATTTGTTATTCCAATGAGATAGTGTTTGTAGAGTGCATCGTGTTCAATATCGATCGATAATTCTGGTGCTTCTGTTTCTACGCTACTCTCTTCATCTACATCAGCTAACTCTTGATCGATATCTTCATTTCTAAATTTTTCTTCAAATGTTGCTGCATAATCAGCTCGACTCACATCAGGACCACCACTTTCTAACACAGGACTGGGAGCTTCAGAGAGAGTGATTCCTGACATAAGCGATTCTTTTGGTATTTCTTTCTGTTGCTGTTCCTCAGTTAGATCATCGTCATATTTCAGTTCAACTTTTCTACCCAGTACACGATCAATAATTTCTAAAATTCGATTATCTGATTGTCTCTGAGCTTCTTGTAATTCTTTTGATTTTATTGATGATATCAAATTTTCAACAGCAGTTAGTGTTGGATCATCAGTTTTTGTTGCACCATACAGTGCATGTGTAGGAGTCGTCGAAGAAGCCTTTACAGATTTTCTACTTGTTCGAGAGAGATTCAGAGGCGTTGCCGGCGTCGTACGTTTACTATTATCAGCACGTAGTGCTTTCGCTTCATTTAACATTTTAGCTACGGTTGATACAGCATCCTGTTGTTCTTCTAATGCTGATCGATCTGTTGCTATTTGTGCCTCATCATTTTCAGCACCCACATCAATTTCAAGTATTTTCAAACGTTTACGTTTTACTGGTGGAATATAAATAACTGGTTTGACGGGTGGTTGTCGGTGTAAGAGTGTGGCTGTATGAGTAGTGCCAGTCACAGGCAGAATAGCGGGTAATGGTTGACGTCGTTTTTGTAGTAATAAACGATCGAGTTCAACGGGACTTTGAACTGGTGGTGGTGGAAAATAAGATGCAGTTGTAGTCGAATCAACATCGATGACGAGAGCAGCATTCGGAGAAATAGGTGTATTAGCAGCCACTCGCATATCATTCGACGACATTAGCGTTCTACCACGTAAATGAACATTGAGTTCGGGAATCGATGTACTTCGTCGAATGGGCAAGACACCACATGTGCTCTTGTAGACGGCTTGTTTCAACTCATTTGTTGTATAGATCGGATTCGAGTGAGTAGAATAAAACAAAGACATCTTTTTTCGATCAGATGACAAGGGCAAAGATGCAACCGAAGCTTGAATGTTTGATGTTAAGTCAGTCATTCTTGAACAATTCTGCAATAACTGAAAAAAACTTACAAGTGAATATTCGATATCCTAAATTCCAGAAAATTGATACGATAAATTTGCCTGTTTCACACTCGAAACCTATTTCAGAGCAAACACGCTTTAAAAATCTACTCTCTCCAAAAGATAACGCCAATAAATAGAACTTTCCTATACTCAGACCATGATCAATCGATCGATCTCTTGATAATTTTTTTAAACGTTGAAAAGCAAAAATAAAATAGAAACAAAAAAATAATTCACTCACGTTTCTAAGAAGTCAATCACAAATAAGAACACCAAAACCAATCAATCATAAGTGTTGTTTTTTCTGATATCGATCTCTTCTCACGTGCATTTATAAAAAAAAGTTCAGAAGCTCGGATACGCGAAAAAAATGGGAAATGTTTTAATTGTTCCTAATATAGGAAGATCGTTTATATTTAGTGAACAGAAAAAGCGAGACAGAAGAAATTTTATATAGTTACTTTTAAATTTTAATGTTATAAAAGTTTGACATTGTAAACAATGAATGACACACACACACACACACAACACACATACACATAGAGAGGGTGAGAAATAAAAAAACGATTTTTTTTCTCCCAGTAGTGTACTTTTATTTGCAGATTTTTGCGTTTAAATGGGCATAGTACAGAGAACGAGAGAAGAAATACTTTTTCTTTCTTTAAATAACAATAGCATCATAACTACAATAGAATAAGAGGTGAGTAGAATTTTAAAACATGCGTTAATAAACTTTGATGAAGGAATAAATAGAAGTCGCAGATACTATTCTAAGACGATCGGAAGTTTATGTATTCTTGACCTTTAAGTACTCTGCATTGTTCTGAACAAGTTATTCTAATCTATAGTCGAACAACATCGTTCAGATAATCAGACTTCAACTTTAAAAATTATAAGTACTGCGCATGATTTTTTAATAATTTTTGTAAAAGCTTTCCCACTGCTACTCGAAAGAAAGAAAACGAAGTCTGAAATTTCAAGGTAGCTTCTCTATTAAAAACCATATTTTTCGATTTCATCCACAACGCAGTATTCGCCAAGATTAAAACATTTAAGGATATTTCTTTCGTTTTAGAAAAACTTTTTTATTCTTGAGTTAAACATAATGTATTTCAGAGTGAA